AATAAATGCAGCCTTGGTGAGCATAAGACACTTCTTTCAAAAAAAAAATCTTTTTTAAAAATCTCTAGATTTCAAGTAAAGCTGAAACTAACCTGTCCTGTTGGGGCTGAGGTTTGCCTTCCATTGCTGTGAGTAGAGTAGGTGCAAGCTCACACTGTTTGGAGACCTCCAGCCTAGGATAGCCAATTTTTATGTAGATGATAGTGAAGTTCTGCGAGCACAGACACAGTCAGCCATTACAATAAAGTTCAAACTTTATAATATGGGAATATACAACCTTGGCATAAATAACACGTCCCATCTCAAGGTTAATCACATTGAGTATTGACAGCGGTGATTGTGACATGACCATACCGTGACAAAAGATGCAGCAGCAGGGTCCTGATACTGAACCAACAGTGTTTCTACAGGAAGCTGAATCTTGGGTCGACTCTTTATCCTTTTGTTCAGGTGTACCAGCAACTCCATAACCTGGAGAGGACAATAATAAAATCCAGATTTTTAATAGATCTTTTTTGAAATTACTCTCATGGGTGCTACTTTTGGACTATGAATCACCAGAGGAGCGACCTTAACAGTGTAGAGAAGTGAGTTTTGAACTTGCATCTCTCATATAAACACACATATACATGCACAAAGCATTCATTTTTTCTATTATCCTTCCAATGGTTTTCAACCATTACAGTCCCAAGGATCCCCAAGCAGACTATGAGTCAACACAGGGACTCCCATATACATTTTATAATAATTTTGCATTAAGGACGTTAACGTTTTCCCATATTGTATAATGTGCAAAAGATCATTCTGCATATGTGAACCCTTCACAGCAGTGACTGTATGATTTTGAGATCCATCTTTTCACACTGAGGACGACTGATGAACATAAATGCAACAATTTCAAGTGTGAAAACATTCACTGAGGCTCCAGAAGGAAATCTTACTTTCTTGCGAACCCCCTCTTGCACACTGGATAGTTTGAGGATGACAGGGGGCAGGAATTTGGATATAATATCCTGCAACTGCTCATCTGTTTCTGCATGACCCAAGCGCAAAAACACACGCTCCAACTGGTCTATAATGGGAAACAAAGAGAAAGCAGTAAAGTAAGTGACAGATGGAGTGTGTTCAAAATAAACAGCACTAACTTGCCTATTTTCAAATTGATTTGAATGAAAAAATTCTCTCATTCTTCCTGCATGATCATAGGCTAATTATAAGAGGTCTATTCTTTAATAAGACGATTTATTAAAGAGACACTGAGAATTACTGCAATGCATTATGTCTCTGACATGAGTGCATTTCAGCGGCTCTCTCTAAACAAATCAATTTACCATAAGAATATTTAACAAGTTTGCAATGAACAACACAAAATAAGACAAACTCTAAATACAGAAAAACTGTAAATACAGACGCTCTAATCGCTAGTTGGTTAGCCTGTGACCAGAATAGCCTCGCTGCTAACCAACGTTAACGGTTATTATCTATATACTTATTTCTCACGCTGTCAATAAATGGCAACCAGGCCTGGACCACTATGGCATTTAGATAACGCAAATTTCGCGGTAAATAGAGGTTGTAGTGTCCTCTAATTGAGACAAACCCAAAAAGAGGTACTTTCATTTTAGAGCATGACTGAGCATTGGGCCTCTGTAAAAAAATAACTAGCCGGCTAGCTGCCAAACTGATATTCACTTTACAAATATTTATTTATGTAACTACAGGCAAACAAACACACAGCACGAACTCAATTTTCATTAGAGTGACCAATAATGAAAAGGGTATTGAAAAACAAGTATGCGGTAATGAAGAAATAATACATGTACAATGAGTTAAACTTACTGAGCTCGTCCTGTGCGGCCATGTTTGAAGTGAAGTCACGAGCAGCACTGCCACTCCTATCGAGCCACTCCTATCGAGACACACTCTCTCTCTCTCTCTCTCTCTCTCTCTCTCTCTCTCTCTCTCTCT